GAGAGCGAGAGAGAGAGAGAATGTTCTTCCATCAACTGGTTGACTCCCCAGATGCCCACAACAGCCTGGGCTGGGTCAGACTGAAGCCAGGAACCAGGAATCTCCATCCGGGTCTCTTGTGGATGGCAGGGGGTCAACACTTGAGCCATAATCAGCTGCCTTCCAGGATGTGTATAGCAGAGGAAGGACTCAATTACAGGCACTCTGATGGGGGATGCAGATGTCCCAAGTGGTGGCACCAAAACACCCACTGCAAAGCTTATGTAAAAAGTCTTTATAATAAATTCAATTTTAATCATTTTAACCACACAAGATTTCTTTTAATTTCTGTCAGTTTTCTATATCCATTGGTTTTGTTTTTATCATTCCTCCTACTATTCGTTAACCTCTAAACCAGAAAGAAGTATGTTTCCTTCAACAAGAAGTAGCCTCATGTGTGTCTTACAGCTGTCACCACCAAAAACACATCCTATTTTCCTTGTACAATTTGCACACATAATTTTTTATAGTTTTATTTTTAGCAATTACATATTCTAATTACAAATAATCTTTAAAATATTTATTCGACAGGCAGAGGTGGCTTCCTCTCTTAGAGCCCCCCTTCTGGCTGCTGTGGTAGGAGCTTTGTGATTTAAATCATGTTTGCTCAAAAAAAAAAAAAAAAAAAAGAGTGACAGACAGGGAAAGAGAGAGAGGGCTTCATCTGCTGGTTCACTCCCCAAATGGATAAAACACCTAGGTCTGGATCATACTGGAGCCAGGAACCTAGAATTCCACCTAAGTCTTCTATATGGGTGGTAGGGGCCCAAGCACAATCACTGCTTTTCTTTCTTTCTTTTTTTTTAAATTTATTTATTTGACAGGTAGAGTTACAGACAGTGAGAGAGAGAGACAGAGAGAAAGGTCTTCCTTCCGTTGGTTCATCCCCCAAATAGCCGCCACGGCCGGCGCTGCGCTGATCTGAAGCCAGGAGCCAGGTGCCTCTTCCTGGTCTCCCATGCGGGTACAGGGGCCCAATCACTTGGGCCATCCTCCACTGCCCTCCTGGGCCACAGCAGAGAGCCAGACTGGAAGAGGAGCAACTTGGACTAGAACCCGGTACCCATATGGGATGCCGGTGCCACATTAACCAAGTGAGCCACAGCGCCAGCCCCATGCACTTCACTGCTTTTCTAGGCTTATGAACAGAGAGCTGTATTGGAAACACAGCAGCTGGAACTGGAACCTATACTCCAATAAGGGATGCTGGCATTGCAAGCAACAGCTTAACCCTCTGTGTCACAACATCAGTCTCACAATTTTAAGTTTTAAGAATTGTGATCTATGGGTCGGCACTGTGGCATAGTGGGTTAAGCCAGCATCCTATATGGGTGACAGTTCTAGTCCGGGCTGTTTCACTTCCAATCCAGCCCCTGCTGATAGCCTGGGAAGCAATGAAGATGGCCCACGTCCTTGGGCCCCCACCACCCACATGGGAGACCCAGAAGAAGTTCATAGCTTTGGACCAGTCCAGCTCTGGCCATTGTGGCCATCTGGGGAATGAACCAGTGGATGGAAAATATCTCCTGTAAACCCTGCCTTTCAAATGAAGAAATAAATATTTCTTAAAAAATTTTTGATCTAGCATTCTGTAAATTAACACTATTTTATAGTCTCTTAGAAATGTGTTTCAAGGCAGGCATTGTGGTGCATTGCCACTTGGGATGGCCACGTTCCATATCAGAGTGCCTAGGATCAAGTCCCACCTCCACTTCTGATCCAGTTTCCTGTTAATGCACGTTCTGGGAGGCAGATGATGGCTTATGTACTTGGGTGTCTGCCATGCACATGGACGACCCAGAAGGAGTTCACGCCTCCTGGGTTCAGCATGACCCAGCCTTGGCTGTTGGGAGCATTTAGGGTATGTTCCAGGTCATTCTGCCTTTCAAAGAAATAAAAATAAATAAACTTTAAAAGCAAACTTCCTTTTTTAAAAAAAGATTATAATATGGTCTAGTAATTAAAATTTTGCATCCCACATCAGAGTACCTGGGTTTGATTCTAAAGTCAGACTACCAATTCCAGCTTCCTGCCAATGCAAACCTTGGAAGGTAGCAAGTGATAGCTGAGTGGTTAGGATCTTGCCTTCACAGGAGACCTGGATTACATCCCTACCTCCTGGTTTTGGCCCTAGTCCTGTCAAAAAAGAAATACATATTTCCTCAGAGCACAACTTTTTATTGTAGTTTTTGTTTTTTTGTTTGTTTCTTTTGACAGGCAGAGTGGACAGTGAAAGAGAGAGATAGAGAGAAAGGTCTTCCTTTGCCGTTGGTTCACCCTCCAGTGGCTGCCACGGCTGGCGCGCTGCGGCTGGCACACCATGCTGATCCGATGGCAGGAGCCAGGTACTTATCCTGGTCTCCCATGGGGTGCAGGGCCCAAGCACTTGGGCCATCCTCCACTGCACTCCCTGGCCACAGCAGAGAGCTGGCCTGGAAGAGGGGCAACCGGGACAGAATCCAGCACCCCGGCCAGGACTAGAACCCGGTGTGCCGGCGCCGCAAGGCGGAGGATTAGCCTAGTGAGCCGCGGCACCGGCCTTATTGTAATTTTATATATTTACTTATTTATTTGAAAGACAGAGTTAGAGAGAGATGAGAGACAGAGACAGAGATCTTCCATTTGGTGGATCACTCCCTAAATGGCCACAGTGGCCTAGACTGGGCCAGACTGGAGCCAGGAGCTTCATCTGGGTCTCCCACATGGGTGGCAGGGGCCCAATCTTATGCTGCTTTTCCAGGCACATTAGCAGGGAGTTGGAAGTGGAGCAGCCAAGACTTAAAGCTGAGCTCACACAGGATGCCTGCATCACAGGCATTAAACTACTGAGACACGAGCCACAATATGGCCCTTATTTTTTTAAGATTTATTTATTTGAAAGGCACAATTACAGAGAAAGAGGGAGAGACAGAGAGAGAGAAATCTTAATCTTCTATCCACTGGTTCACTCTCCAGTGGCCACAACAGCTAGAGTTGGGCCAGATTGAAGCCAGGAGCTTCTTCCTGGTCTCCCATTTGGGTACAGAGGCCCAAGTACTCGGGCTATCCTCTGCTGCTTTCCCAGGTGCATTAGCATGGAGCTGGGTTGGAAGTAGAGCATGTGGGACTCCAACCAGTTCCCATATGACATACTGTTGTTGCAGGCAGTGGTTTTACCTGCTACAGACTCAGATATCTTTCATTTTCATCTATTTGGGTTGCAGAGACAGAAACAGACAAACATACAGAGATATGCTGATTTAGTGATTTGCTCTCCAAAGGCCCACAACAGCTGGGGCTAGGCCAGGCCAAAGCCAGGAGCCAGGAACTCCATGTGATCTCCCACTTGGGTGCTGCTTCTCAGGATCTGCCACTAATAAGAAGCTGGAGTCAGGAGCCAGGTATCTAACCAAAGTACTCCAATATGGGATGCAGGAGCCTGAATTGCTAGGCTAAATGCTGCCCTCTCCAAATATCCTTATTTCCTTTGTAATAAAAAGGCAAAGATAGATAATTTTTAAACCTTATGTTCAATATTTAATGTTTCACTACTTTATCTTATTTGGAAAGGATCTAGTCAATGATTGTCCAGCACTTAACTTAGTGAAACTTTAAAAAAAAAAAAACATTTATTTATTTAAGAGGTAGAGTTACTGAGGGAGAGGCAGAGACAGAGGTCTTTCATTCGCTGGTTCACTCCCCAAGTGGCTGCAGTGGCTGGAGCTGAGCTGATCCAAAGCCAGGAGCCAGGAGCTTCTTCCAGGTCTTACACGTGGGTGCAGGGCCAAGCCCATTAAGTGAGTCTTAAATCAAGCAGTTTATCTGTTTATGAGGACTACCTTTACTTAACATCTCATGAAATTTTCCAAACATAATTGTTAAATGTGAGTTAATTAAATAAGACATAAGTAAAAGTTTATAAACTTTTTATACAGTAGTTGTTTTATAATTTGTTTATTAGAAGGTTTCCCAAATCTCTCTGGTAATTATACCCTTAAGAGTCTCACTAAGTTAGGGCCAGTGGTGTAGTAGGCTAAGACTCCGACTGCAGAGCCAGCATCCCATATGGGCACCAGTTCGTGTCCTGGCTGCTCCTCTTACAATCCAGTTCTCTGCTTATGGCCTGGGAAAGCAGTAGAAGATGGCCCAAGTACTGGGGTGTGGGAGACCCGGAAGAAGTTCCTGTTCCTGGCTTCCAATTGCTCAGCTCCAGCCATTGTGGCAGTTTGGGGAGTGAACTGGTGGGTGGAAGACCTTTCTCTTTGTCTCACCTTCTCTCTGTCTGTAACTCTACCTCTCAAATAAATAAAGTCTTTTTTTAAAAAAAAAAAACTGACTTAATGGAATTTTTTTCATTATCACCAATGGATATTGAATTTTGTCAAATGCTTTTTCTGCATCTATTGAGATAATATGGTGTTTCTTCTTCTTTTTGTTTTAAAAAAATCTGAAACATAGAGCAATGATTTGCAATGTGTGGTCTAAGGATTTTTTTTAAAAAAGATGTATTTGTTTATTTGTAAGGTAGTTACAGGGAGAGAGGGAGAGACAGAGATCTTCATCCACTGGTTCACTCCCCAGGTGGCCTTAATGGCCAGGTGAGGCCAGGCCGAAGCCAAATGCCCACCACCACTACTGTCCTTTCTTTCCACATTTTACCGGGGGCCTATGAAGCACAGAAGGACAAAAAAGGAACTGAGGGTTTTATTTTGCAAATTATGACTGTTTATAGGAACCTAATGAAATCTGTAGTCTTAAAGAAAATAGAACTGTATTATTAGATCAATAAGAAAAATAAATTATAATCCTTTTTACCAGGAATACATAAAAATTTGTATAATTTTGAAATAGCTTTTGCAGCAGAAATGGAGAACATGAAGTACTAAGGAATAAGTCTAATAAAATATGAGGCTGACCAATTTGGAAAATATTATAAAGCCTTATTGGTATACATTTAAAAACATAACTAAGTGGTGACAAACTTTTTTTTTTTTAAGATTCATTGATTTATTTGAAAGGCAGAAGAGTTAAAGAGAGGCAGAGAGAGAGAGAGAGAGAGAGAGAGAGGTCTTCTATCCACTGGTTCACTCCCCAAGTGGCCACAACCGCCAAAGCCGACTAGTCAATGTGAGCTTCACCTGGGTCTCCCACACGGGTGCAGGAGCCCAAGCACTTGGGCCATCTTCTACTGCTTTCCCAGGCCATAGCAGAGAGCTGGATCAGAAGTGGAGCAGCCAGGACTCAAACTGGCACCCATGTGTGATGCCAGCACAAGTGGGGGCTTCACCTGCTAGATCACAGTGCTGGCCCCAAGACATAGCATTTTTTTTTTTCAAAAGATTTATTTTATTTATTTGAAAGAGTTACAGAGAGAGAGGTCTTTCATTCCGCTGGTTCACTCCCCAAATGACTGCAACAGCCAGAGCTGAGCTGATCGGATGTTGGTGGATGGGATACTGGCGCTGTAGGCTGTGGCTTTAATCCACTGCACCACAGCACTGGCCCCAGAGACTTAGTATTTTTACAGCTAGGAAGCCTCTATCATAAAAACATTCTCCCCTAATAATTCATAAATTCAATGTAAGTCCAATAAAAACACTAAGGGATTTTTCTTGGAACCTGACAAACTGAATAAACAAATTATATGAAAGAGTACATGAACAAGAAAATCAAAGTGCTTCTTATGAATAAGTGAGAAAAATTGACCTACAAGCTTTATCAAAAAAAAAATAAATAAATAACAATAGGGGTCAGTGTTGTGGCACAGCGAGTTAAGACGTTGCTGACAATGCCAGCATCCTGTATCGGAACATGATGGCTCAAGTCCCAGGTGCTCTACTTCCTATCTACGTCCCTACTCTTGTGTCTGGGGAGGCAGCAGAAGATGGCCCAAGTACCTGGACCCCTACCACCCACGTGGGAGACATGAATGGAGTTCCTGGCTCCTGGGGCTTCAGCCTGCTGCAGTCCTGAATATTGCAATCATTTGGGGAGTGAACCTGTGGATGGAAGCTCTCTTTCTCTGCCTGCCTCTCTCTGTGTCTCTGTCACTCTATTCATAATAATGAATAAACCTTTAAAAAAAAGTAATACGCCAGTATGGCACCCACACAGAGATAAGGAAATAGAAGCTCCCATAGACAATCAGGACAGTTTGATAACACAGCCAGTGGGGGAAAAGATGTACTAGTCAGTAAAGGAGTCAATCAAACAGAAGGGAAAAAATGATCCCTAACTTAAAAGCCAAGAACAAAAACAAACCTAAACAACAAAATCCAGGTGGATGGAAGACCTAAATGTGAAAAAGAAATACTTTAGAAGAAACTCCACAAGCAGGGAAGGATGTCAGGTACAAAAAACACAGACCACAGAGTAATAGGTAAACTATTTTATATTGAGAAAAAAATGAAACTTGCTCTTTGCTTTTTAAAAAATTTCTAATAACTTGAGATATATACCTAAATATATAGGACTAGAAAATGCCTGAGACTTGCTTCAGAATGATCTGGGGGTGAGAAAACGGGTGTGTTATTATTGATATGAAATGAGCTATGAGGTGGTAATTGTTGAAACAGGGTGATGGGTATATGGGGATCTGTCAACCCTTTTTAATATATAATATGTACTCTCCTGTGTGTGTGTGTGCAGCTTTTCATAAAAACGGTTAAAAGGAAAAGAAGGATGTGATGATAGGATACCAGTTTCTACCCACCAAAGTTGTAAACATTTGAAAAGCTGACAGCTCTTCATTATTGGCCAGAACACGATAGGCTGGGAAGCCTCACACATCAAGAGCAAGGACATACATTGGCACAAGCAATTTGGAAGGAACCTCATCACCTGGTGGAACAGAAGATGCATATCCTTTACCGCCCAGCGGCTCCCCCATCTAGCCTAAGACCTAGAAAAGCTTGCTTATGGAAACAGGTACAAAGAAGTTCACAGGCCCATTGTTTTTAATAGCAGAACACTGGAAACAACTGAGTATCCTTTTGTAGAAAAATGTGTGAGTCTGGCCGGCGCCACGGCTCACTAGGCTAATCCTCCACCTAGAGGTGCCGGCACACCGGGTTCTAGTCCCGGTCGGAGCGCCAGATTCTGTCCCGGTTGCCCCTCTTCCAGGCCAGCTCTCTGCTGTGGCCAGGGAGTGCAGTGGAGGATGGCCCAAGTGCTTGGGCCCTGCACCCCATGGGAGACCAGGAGAAGCACCTGGCTCCTGCCATCGGATCAGCGCAGTGCGCCGGCTGCGGCGTGCCAGCCGTGGCGGCCATTGGAGGGTGAACCAATGGCAAAAGGAAGACCTTTCTGTCTCTCACTCTCACTGTCCACTCTGCCTGTCAAAAAAAAAAAAAAAAAAAAAAAAAAGAAAGAAAAATGTGTGAGTCAACGGTGCTGTGTTTATTTATGAAAGGGCAGAGTGGGAGCAGCACCCATCAGCACTGGCAAGTCCCACCAGCACAGGGTGAATGGGGTCAGGACTCCACAGAATACAGACTTGATGCCGTTTACGTCAGCGCAAAGTCTGTACACCTACACCAGGTGCCGGGAGGGATGGAGGGACATTATAGAGAGAAACCAAGAACAATCTGGAAGAGTGGTTATTCCCAGTGCGGGAGGTGAGGGCGTGTCATCCAGGGCACGGAGAGCAGTAGGAATGGTGAGGTCTTGCTTCCTAAGCTGGCTGGGAGGCCCGTGAGTGGTATCATTCCTTAGTCCTTCTCCATGTAATAACATCACATGTAATTGTAAAAATAAAAGGTGTTCAAAGAGGGCACATGATGTGGGAGGTGAGAGACGAGGCACAAAAGTCCCCACTGGGGGAAATAACAAACTCCTTTTCAGTTCAAAAACAAACTTACTGAGAACAGCTGAATGAAGCCGTGCCTGTCCTGCAAGGAACACGGTGCTGCCCAAGGAGACTCTGTCCAAAGGTGAAGGCAGCGACTGAGAAAGCACCAGGGGTCACAGGATGGAGGAGAAGGGGTGCTGAAGGGGACACTTTGATCCCCAGTGAAGGGGCTGGGTCCTGACTTTTCCTTCTCTTCACCCTCCCCTCTCCTATGTATTCAGAATAGCTTCCAGGTTTGTCTTAAGTGACTTGAGTGCAGTGAGTGAGACGCAGCACAGCACGTAGGGCTCTGGGGCTGGGCCCAGCCTCAGGACGAGAGCTGCAGTAGTGTGGGTGGGAGGGGCTTCATCCCTGGCCTCTGCTCTCCCCTGGCTCATGTTCTGGGCTTCCCCAGGCTACTGGGAGGCCATCTTCGCAAAGGCCTGCAGCCTGTCTGCACCAGTGTCTGCTTGCGGGGGAAGAGAACAGGTGCACGCCCAGTTTCCTGTCTGCTTAGCCAGGAGGCAAAATACTGCAGAGCTCCACAGCAACGGTACCACCTCCCACCACCTCCAACTTCTGGCTTCTTCGTGGCCTTCTTGGGGGAGTCCCCAGCCTCCCCATGGCCTTCCTGGGGGAAAGCCCCATCTTCCTCATGGCCTTCCTGGGGGAGTCCCTGACTTCCCCTTGACCTTCCTGGGAGGCCACAGTAAGGCAAGCCTGATGGACATCTCAAAGTCATGGACAAGGTGCTGCAGACTCTGGCTCCTGATGCCTCTTGTCATATCTGCTGGAGCCAAGGCCCTGCATGGGCCTCTATGTCCAGTTTTACTCCAACCAACCGGGTCCCACGATGCCATGAGAAGTGTCAACCAAGTGTCCGTAGATCTGAGAGAGACCCAACAGAATCACAGGCTTGTCACCCTCCCCACCCCCCACATCTCTGGTCCTCCCCAACAGCCCCGCCCCCTCCACGCTCTCCCCACCTTTTCCTGTATGCTGTTACTTCCAAACCACAAGCAGACAATAACCGGCACTGATGGATACACTCATTGGCCGCAATGCATCCCCATGACCTGGTGCCATTCTCCCTTACTGAAGTACCGTCCCTTCTGGTGCCTGCCCAGCTCTCCTGGACACCTCCAAGTGAGAGAAACCCAACCCTATTCCAGGCCACTGCTCGCTGACACCTGCTGAGGGCTGGGGATGCACCTGCCTGTCTGTCCTTGACACCTGCTGGGCCATGTCCTGGACATGCACCTGCTGGGCAGTGAGGAAGCACTGACGCACTGCAAAGCACTTAAATAACTAAGTCCCTTCCCACGTGCTCCTAAGTGAGGAGCTGGAACTCAAACGCCGTCCTCCCTGGAGCATGCGCCGTGAGCCAGGGAACCCAGCGGCCCCACCCTGTCCCGGGCCGCGCGGATGCTTACAGTGCAGGACTGCTTCCCTGACTTGGCGAAAGCCTCCGTCGGGGCCCCTGCCGTCCACGTAGTACATGAACCGGAGCTCGGGTGGGTAGGCGGCTCTAGACAGGCCGGACAGCAGAGGGATGGTGCGGCCCTCGGCACCTGGGGCCTCGGACAGGGCCTGCAGCATCTGGTACCTGCACCAGGGGTCGCGCAGGAAGCCCGGGGTGATGAGCAGTACTCGGCAGTGACTGCTGCTCAGCGCCTGGCACAGTTCAGACACGATGGCACCGCCCGGGGCTGCGTCGCGCAGCTGCAGGAAGCAGCGCAGGCTGGCGGCGCTGCCCTCCAGGTAGGAGACCAGCTCCTGGGCGGCCGCCAGGTCCTCCTCGCTGTGGCACACACACACATCGTAGTCCCGGCTCCAGCGGCCACTGCCAGTGCCGCTGTCACTGCAGGCGCCCTCGTGTGCCGCTGGCGGGGCGGGGGAGGTGCTGGCACTGAGGCCCGAGGGCGCGGGCCCTGCCTGGGAAGGGGTTCGCGGGCTGTCGCTGGGGGCGCTCTCCGGGGAGCCAGGCATCTTCGCAGGCTTCTTCTGCAGGGCCTGCCTGAACCAGTCTGCGGGGAGAAAGGCAGCTCAGTCCCCGTCCCTCCTCCCTCGCAGGGACCCCCTGCTCTGCTGTTTGTTTTTAATGAAACAATCTCATTTTAAACATTTATTTGTTTTATTTAAAGGCAGGGAGCGACAGAGCTCTCCTGCTGGGCCAGGCGAAGCTAGGAGCCAGGGACTCCAGCCAGGTGTCCCACGTCGGTGGCAAGGGGCCCAAGTATTGGAGGATCACCTGCTGCCTTCTGGGGTATGTACTGGCAGGAAGCTGGATCTGGGAGCAGAGCCTGCACTCAAACGTAGGCACTCTGCTATGGGATGCAGGCATCCCAGGCAGTGTCAACCCCAGCGCCAAAAGCCTGCGCACGCTCTGCTGTTTTTTTATGCATCACCAGGGCCTCGCCTAAACGCCCCATCTATCTTGAAAGGTTCGGGGAATAGGTGGGACTGCTGGAGTGCTTACGTGAGAGTTTTTCTTGCCTGATGAGCTGTGGCCTTGCCTGCTCCAGGCCTCTGGTATCTGGTACCTTCAGTTCACCACCACCACCACCACCACCCCGCCCCCGCAGCAGAACTTCCCACCAGAGCTGACTGACTGGCACCTGTGGGTCATCAGCAGAGCTGTGCTATGTTAGCGTGGATGAGTCAGTTCCTCAGTCCACTTCCAGCAAGAGGGGAGGGGAATTTAGATTGTGATGGGCTACCCCCTGTGCAGGAGGAAGACTAGGGGGGAACCTGCACTGCTCTGGCACCGAGGAATCCTTGATAGTTTCTAAATGGTCAACATGGAAAGATGGAGGAGGACTACTACTGCTCAGAGCTCCTGACGAGCGCCAGAGGGAGTGAGGCACATAGACCGACTCTGGGCCTGCTGCTGGCGCTGTGTGTCACCAAAAGCACATGGTGGAATGTGCTCATTTCAGTTGTTAACTGAGAGAACGCAGCATCTGGTATGGGGGAAACACTCCAGGATGGCATTAAAACGCAGCTTCAGGGTGGGCATTTGTCAAAGTGGTCAATTCACCACTCGGAATGCCCACAGCTCATATCGGGGTGCCTGGTGCCAGTCCTGGCTACTCCACTTCCAGTCCAGCTTCCTGCTAATGCACACCCTGGGAGGCAGCAGGTGATGGCTGAAGTGAAGTGTCTGAGTCTCTGCCACCCACGGGGGAGATCTGGATTGAGTTTCAGGCTCCTGGCTTCAGCCAGCCTCAGTCCTGGCTGTCGTGAACGTCTAGGGAATGCATGAGCAGCAGGTGGGAGATCTCTGTCTGTCATCTCTCTGTCTCTCTGCCTTTCAAATGAAGTGAGGATAAACAAATTAAAAGCCAAAACCCCTCAGCTCCCACAGCTTTTGGTAAGGACGGTTTGATACTCTGGGGCTTGATTCATTTTCTCTCTGCTCCTTCCTCAAAGATTGAGATGACAAGAGACACAAGGGTCAGCACTCAGCACCAGGTCTCCCAGGCTGGGGCAATTAGCTGAGCAGGCCCTGGAATATCTTTGCACCTCCAGAATTGAAGATGCAACTGAAACATGCCTTCCTCTCCTCCTCTCCACAAGGCACTGGGCATGAAATTAGGCCAGGAGCTTCCTCTGCCTTCAGCCTTCCTATCTCTCCCCAGTGTTTGGAGCAGGCGGGCCTCCCCGTGACCCACGCAGAGACTGGGGACTACGCTCTTGGCAGCAGCAGCACTTTCAGCAGCCTGGTTCTACTCACCAGCCATCTTGCCCAGAGGCTTCTTGGGCCGGGAGCGAGGAGCTGGGAGGGAGGTCGATGATGCCATCGTGTAGGGCTCACGACCATCCCCGTGAGACCAGGCATCAGGAAAGCAGGAGAAGGGAGGAGACCCAGCCTTGACCCCGTGGAACAGCCATCCTATAAGGGACACACAGAGACAGAGGAATCACAAAAGCTGTACTTACTCTGCTCTCGGGCCCAGTGTGGGCACCTGAAGCTCTGGTATCTCCCAATTGCCTGACAGGCTTGGACTTTAAGGGAGTCCTTCACCCATCATGGGACTAGAGACAGACACCTCTGTGACTGGAGCTGGTTTCAAGATACACTCAGATCTGGGCGGGCATTCAGACTCCCCAAGTAGGGGCTGAGCACGACCAGAAGAGTGGCTGTTCCATGCTGCACCCAGCCGGGATGCCATTCGGGGCTGGGGAAGGGATGGCTGGCAGGCAGCTCTTCAGAGAGCCTTGGGTGAAAATGCTGGAATGAGATGAGGACAGCTGCTGTTGGCGTGCGTCATTATGCATGCAGGCAGACAGGCTGGGCAGTACAGAGAGCACAGCGGGAGATTTTTTCTCCCTGCCTGCCTCCACCCTTCAGCAGCCTGCACAAAGAGGTCACAAAGTAGTGAAGATGCCCCAAGCCTCACCTCTTACTAACTGTGGCCCTTGCAACCTTACCAAACATCTGTTTCTACATCTGTGAAGTGGACATGCTGCAATACTAAAAACCTACTTCTTCTCAGCATTATTGTGAAAAGTACTGAGATAATTTACATAAAGTGCCACTGGGGTCTGGCATATGACAAGTGCTCAAAAATATGGGAAACTACATATTTAAAATAATCTAGATAAAAGAGGGATGTTTTAAGCTTATGGTTTATAAGACTCAATAGTGTAGCATTCATTTCTTCCCCAAACTTTTCTTCATTTTAATGCCAGCCCCAAATTTCAGGGGATTTTTGGTTTCGCTTTTGTTTTGGTAAACTGCTTCTGTGTTTATATGGAAATGCAAAGGGCCGAGAAGGCTTCAGAAGGGTGTCTGGCCACGTTCTCTTCCCAGCACAACAGGGCCGCCCCGGTAGTGGAAGCTGTTCCAGCCTAGGTTCCGAGGGGAAGCTAGCGTGGAGCAGAGCCCAGTTCAGATCCTGGAGGAGCTGTGGTATCCTGGAGACACTTCCCCAGGTGGAGGGTGGGTAGAGAACTTGGCTCCGGCATCGTGGAGCAGCAGGCAGAGGGCTGCCTGCTCACCCTCTGCCAGATCGGCAGAGCACAAAACCAAGGCTCCCTCTAGGAACGCACCCAGACATGAGTTGAACCACTAGACACACTGAAGTCAGAGGGCCCACAGTTTAAAGAAAGTCAGCCAGTGTTGGACGTCAGATAAGGGATGCTGAGGATTCATGAATGTCTATCAAAGTTCAAATCAAAACCAAACCTTTCAGACCAGCGCTGTGACTCAGGTTAATCTTCCGCCTGCAGCGCCGGCATCCCATGTGGGCGCCGGTTCTGGTCCTGGCTGCTCCACTTCCAATCCGGCTCTCTGCTATGGCCTGGGAAAGCAGTAGATGGCCCAAGTCCTTGGGCCCCTGCACCCACGTGGGAGAACTGGAAGAAGCTCCTGGCTCCTGGCTTTGGATCGGTGCAGCTCTGGCCGTTGTGGCCATTTGAGGAAAGAACCAACAGAAGGAAGACCTTTCTGTCTCTCCCTCTCACTGACTGTAACTCTGTCTCTCAAATAAATAAATAAAATCTTAAAAAAAACACTTTCATTGCAGCAGCAATGGGGGCAGAAAGAAGAGGGGGGATGTGTGCAGGAGGCAGAGACGACGTTTGAGAGAAAAGTGGTTAAGCCACGCCAAGGACGCTGCGAGTGGACTATCAGTGAGTTTCTTTTCCTTGCTAATCTGTGGATCTCAGACAACCTAGCAGGAAGGCCGCAGTGGCTGCCGTGCCGGCCCCACCGTGCGGTCTGTTGCCCTGGTAGGGCTTGCGGCCACTAGACATCTTCATTTCAGCCACTCAAGACGCTGTGTCGCCTCCAGTGATAGACATCCTCGTAGTATCAGTTGGTTTTTATGTAAACATTTCCAACCTTATTTTATGTTAGAATTTTTAAAAATGTATTTATTTGAGAGGCAGGGAGGTACAGAGAGAGAGAGATCTCTCATCTACTGGCTCACTCCCCAAATGCCAGCAATAGCCAGGGCTGGTCCAGGCTAAAAACCAGGAGCTAGGAACTCAATCCAGGTCTCCCATGTGGGTGGCAGAGACTCAGGTCCGTAGGCCATCACCTGTTGCTTCCCAGGGTGCACATTAGCAGGAAGCCAGTAGGGAAACAGATCTGGACTCTAACCCAGATATGGGATGTGGGCATCTCAGCAGCAGCTTAACTGTTATTCCATTTGCCCACCCCAATTTTTTTTTAAAGATTTATTTATTTATTTGAAAGTCAGAGTTACACAGAGAGAAGGAGAGGCAGAGGCAGAGAGAGAAAGAGAGAGAGAGGTCTTCCATATGCTGGTTCACTTCCCAGTTGGCCGCAACGGCCAGAGCTGTGCCAATCCGAAGCCAGGGCCCAGGAGCTTCTTCTGGCTCTCCCACGTGGGTGCAGGGACCCAAAGATTTGGGCCATCCTCTACTGCTTTCCCAGGCCATTGCAGAGAGCTGGATCAGAGGTGGAGCAGCTGGCACTTGAACTGGCACCTATATGGGATGCCAGCACTGCAGGTGACAGCTTTACCCACTATGCCACAGTGCTGGCCCCCCAATTTTGTTTTAATTTTAAGATTCATTATTTGCTGGCATTGACATTGTGGTGGTACAGAGGGTTAAGCCACCGCTTGTGACATAAGCATCCCATAGGAATGCCTGCTCGTGTCCCAGCTGCTCTTCTTCCAATCCAGCTCTCTGCTAATGCACCTAGGAAAGCAGCAGAGGTTGCCTAAGTACTTGTGCCCCTGCCACCCACGTGGGAGACCCAGATGGAGTTCCAGGCTTCTAATTTCAGCCTGGCCCAGCCCTAACTGCTGTGGCCATTTGAGCAGTAAACCAGCAAATGGAAAAGTTCTCTCTCTCTATCTTCACCTCTGTCTCTGTAACGCTGCATGTCAAATAAATAAAATAAATCTTTTTTAAAAATTCATGATTTGCTCTTGATACAATTACAAATTGGAGAATCATTTGATTTTTTTCAAAATGATATTCCAAAAGTTAAAACGGAACATAACATATAGATTAACATATGTTAATCTACTTAACATGTATAGATTAAAAAGTTAACAGTTGTCATTTTGTGAAATAACTTCCTCTTTTGGAAACACATGCTGATTTTTGGATAATTGCCTTTTTCACTGCTTGATGAAGAAGAAAACCAACTGTCCAACAGCATATGCCAATGGAAGCGGGTGGGACAAGACCTTGTAAGTACCGTTACGTAAAAGTTTAAACACAGGAAGGAACAGTGTCTTTAACAGGATCATTGAGCAAGATGGCAGGTAAATTCCAGGAACCAAACACACAGCTACTTCCTAGAGTCTTAAACCCCAACCATCTTCCTGGTTACTTCTCAGTTCTTGTATAGCTAAGGCTGTGGAGCAATTACACAGGCAAACATGCTTTAATCTTCCCAAGACTTAGTAACAATATCCTATAGCGAGATATAGCTGTCAAGCAGATAAGATAATGAATGTGAATCTCCAGAATGGAAGGTCTACTGATTAGCTCTGTCTAGTCTTCGATTTGCTGTGTGGCTTTTTATGTGCTTTCTTTTTCTTGTGCTTATCAAGAGTTCATACAATATGGAGCCAGTGTTGTGGCTTAAGCTGTCACCTGTGAGGCTGGCTTGAGTCCTGGATGCTCCACTTCCCATCCAACTCCCTGCTAATGTACCTGGGAAAACAGTAGAAGATGGCTCAAGCACTTAGATCCCTGCCAATCATATGGAAGACATGGATGGAGTTCCAGGCTCCCAAATTCTGCTTGGCCCAGTTCCAGCCATTTGGGCCATCTTAGGAGTGAACCAGCAGATGGAAGATCTCTCTCTGGCCTCTCCCTCTCACTCAAATAAATAAATAAATATTTTAAAAAGTAAATAAGTAAAGTAAATGCAAGAAGAAGAGCATCTGCCCTAGCGAGTGGTCAAGGTGCCTACATCCCATACCTGAATTTGATTCCCATCTGTCTTCCAATTCCAGCTTCCTGCCATTGCAGACCCTGGGAGGAAGCAGGTGATGGCTCGAGAAGCTGTGTCCCTGTCTGACATGTAGGAAAACCCCGACTGGATTTCTGGTACCTGATTCCAGCCCAGCCTAGTCTTGGCCACTGTGGACATTTGGGGAGTGAACTAGTGGATGGGAGCTCTCTCTCTCTCTCTCTCTTTCTGTGTCTCTGCCTCTCAAATAAATTAAGTATACAGGAGGCTGTGCATGGGTTATATGCAAATACCATGACATTTTACATAAGGAAAGTGTGTGTCCTCCCAGTTGTGTTGGCACAGAGGGAGTCCCTGGAAGCAACCCTACTAAAGGATCTAAAGGATGACTGTATGTGTGAATGGTTGGGCAATCAGACTATTGCAGGAAAACATAGGAAATTATCTCCCTGACTTTGGGGTAGGCCAAGATGCTTGCAAACTAGATACAGTAACCATAAAGGGAGAAAAATCAAAGATTGGAAAACATAAAAATAAAGAGCTTCTGTTCACCAGAAGAGATCATTTGTAGAGTGAAAAGGCAATGTACTAGGAGAAAAGTTTTAAAAATACATGTCCAATAAATGTCTCATACCCAAACATTTCAAGAACCCTTACAGGGGCTGGTGTGTAGCATAGCGGGTTAAGGCACCACTGCTCCACTTCCAGTCCAGCTCCCTGCTAATGGCCTGGGAAAAGCAGCAGCAGATGGCCCAAGGGCTTGAGTACCTGCACCCACGTGGGAGACCTGCATGAAGCTCCTGGATTTGGCCTGGCCCAGCACCACCTGTTATGGCCATTTGGGGAGTGAACTAATAGATGGGAGATCTCTCTCTCTCTCTCTCACACACTCTCTCAACTCTGCCTTTCAAATAAATAAAAATAAATTTAAAAAAAGAAAAAAAGTAACCCTTGCAAACTAGTAAGTTTAAGAGAGATAACCTGGCCGGTGCCGCGGCTCACTAGGCTAATCCTCCGCCTTGCGGCACCGGCACACCGGGTTCTAGTCCCGGTCTGGGCGCCGGATTCTGTCCCCTCTTCCAGGCCAGCTCTCTGCTGTGGCCAGGGAAGTGCAGTGGAGGATGGCCCAAGTCCTTGGGCCCTGCACTCCATGGGAGACCAGGAGAAGCACCTGGCTCCTGCCATCGGATCAGCGCAGTGCACCGGCCGCAGCGTGCTGGCCGCTGCGGCCATTGGAGGGTGAACCAACGGCAAAAGGAAGACCTTTCTCTCTGTCTCTCTCTCTCACTATCCACTCTGCCTGTCAAAAAAAAAAAAAAAAAAAAAAAAAAAAAAAAAAAGAGAGAGAGAGAGAGATAACCTATTGGAAAATAGGCAGAAGAATTAAACAGGCTATTCACATGCACAATAAATAGATAAAAAGCTTCACACTTCACCGGTCATCAGAGAAATGCAAATTAAAACTTCAACACACTCTTGCTATGCCCTCAACAAACAACTACACGAAAAAGAGAGAGTGTCACATATTGGTAGGATGTGAAGGCATACGAACTCTCCTACACTGCTGGTGGGAGCATGAATCGGTACCACTGCTTAGAGAACTGTGTGGTATTATGCGCTAACACTGAACACACACACAAACCCAGAAATCCCACTTCAACGAGTAGAAGTGCTTCCATATGTTCACCCCAAGATGCACATATTATTCAAAATAACCCCAAACTGGAAACAACCTTGTCCAGCAACTCAGCCTTCTGGAAGGATGGATCAATAACTCCTGGTGCAGCCACACTCTGGACTGTCATACATCACAGAGAATCATGTATTACTGCCAAACACAGCCCAGGCAAACCTCACAAACACATTCAGTGCCAGACACCTGCTGCACAAGAGGACCTGGTACTTACTTTCACGGATTAAAAGCCTACAAACAGGCAAAGAGACCGTAGCTACTGGTCCTTGCACACTGGGATTGCAAGGGGCGTGGCAGGGGAGCAGAGGGCTAGGAATGTGTTATTCGATGTCCCAGGGCAGGTTGCACAGAGAATTACAGCTTTGTGGAAAACGGTTAAGAGGTACACTTAGGATTTGTGTACTCATCTGTGTGTGTTACATCGCCAATGGTTTTTAAAGTCTAAAAAAAATTAATAATAAAATCATCAGCTGTAGCTTCCTCTGAGTCACTCGTGACCCCGTGTCCGCTGAGCTAGGTGTGGCGGCCGGACCGCTCCTCGCTTCCCCTCTGTCGCGGCACTGGGGTCAGGTTTACCGGGCTCCAGGAGGACGAGAGGACCGAGCCGGTCCCTTCACGGCTGCCCCTACAGGACCCGGCAGAGGTCAAACGCCGCGGAAGAAAAGCTCCTCACCCGCGAGGGAGCCGTGCGCTTGCCGAGCCAGCGCGGAGACCGAGAGGTAGAGGCTGTGGCCAGAGAGAGCAGGAAGTCGGGAGAGACCGTACCTGCGGTGACCCTGCACCAGCCCCGCGAGCCCGCGCTGCCCGGCGGCAGCAACGGTGACAGCCTCCTCGCAGGGTCTCGTCGTGCTGCTCCCGCGTCCTGGGCGCTGGCGACAGCCAGGTGGACGCAGCGGGCGAGAGGAAGGTGGTCTCCGGGGGCCGGCAGGTGTGCCCGGGCTGCGGCCAGGCCGGGCTGGGCAGCAAGCGGATCCCCGCTGTCCGACGTCCGCCCGGCGCCGCCGAGCCCCGCCGAGCCCCGCGGAGCCCCGGCCCCGGCTCCGGGCTCCCCGCGCGCCGGCTTCCCGGGAAGTGGCGCGCAGGCCCGGCGCCCGGAAGCGCCGCGGGGACCCGGCGCCGCCCTCCTCCGCGCCGCCGGCGCCGAGTCTCGACCCTAGAAGGCGCTCGGGCACTGCGCGGCAGGGGAGCGCAGCTCCGGCGCCCCCGACACTAGACACCCACGTTTCAAACCCGAGTTTTGTTCTAGGTGAGGAAGAAGGAAAGAAACCCTTATTTCATCCGTTTCATCCGCTGCTATCCTGCAAGGGGGCAGTGCGTCCCTTTTCCTATTTTTATTCAGAGAAAAGTGAGGCTTGGGGAGATTAAACTCCTTTCCTGAGGGTCCCACACGGTGAGTGCTGGACAGGGCGGGAGGCAGAGGCAGCCCCTCGTGGCTGTGCAGTGTGGCCGGCGGGGAGCCCAATGCGAGTGCTTTGCCCCCGCTAGGCACTAGCAGAGTTCTGCCGGCACGCGTGGTTCCCGTGCCTGCCACGCCTTGGAGCCCTGGAAGTGCAGGTGAGAAGCCAGCTCGCCACGGCTCATCTTCCTGAGCGGTTGCCCAGGGTATGCCAGTGCTCACACTGTGAACATGGAATGATGCTGGGTGGAGGGAGTTTAACTGGGCCCGCCCTGGTCCTTGCGCAGTTTAACGGTGCACAGATGCAACCCTCAGTGTCTACCACAGTGTGGAGTAGGAGTGCCCAGGATGCATTTTTTCTTTTCAAGGGAGAGAGGCAGATTGCCCATCTGCTGGTTCACTACCCGAATGCTCACAACAGCCAGGGGCCAGGCCCAATCCCCGAGCCAAGAGCTCAATCCAGTTCTCCCCTGTGGGTGGCAGGGATCCAAGTAACTAAATCATCCCCTCTTTCCAAGGGTGCACAATAGCAGGAACCAGAGCTGCGACTTGAACCAGGTGCTCTGGGTGTGGAATGCAGGCAGCCCAAGCACAACTACCGCACCCAATGTCCCCCTTCCCATGTATCCTTTAAATGTAGCCTTTGTGACCTTGAAGAGAGGAGCACCTGGGTAAGCCGCCAGAGGCCCCTCTGGACCTCACATTGGTGTGTCTGTGTGGCAGGGGGCTGAGTGACTGCGGGCACGCTGGACACCTGACAGGGCTGACCGGATGTTGGTTTAGCCCGACCAGCCCCAGCTGGGCCCTGGCAGGCTCCTTCCGGCCCTTCAGCACCGTGTCCCTTCCTCTTCTGCGTCAACACTTTAGCTCTCGCGCTTCCACTTGGCACTCCGGCACAGGGTCACATCTTTTCCGGTTCACCCTCCCTAAAGGCCGCTCTTTATGAAGTTTTACCCGCTAGCTCTGTTTCCACTCAACTTCCCCTTCTCTGCAACTGCTCCCACCAAGGTCACCACTGACCGATGTGGTGTGAGTCCAGATGCATGTGTGTCGTTTTGTGCCACTGACCACTTCCTCCTTCGTGTCCATGACAGTACCCTCTCCTGGCTCTTCTCCTGCCTCTCTGGGCACCCGCTCTTTGGTCTCTTAAATGTCTGTAGGGTCCCTCCAGCTTCCCCGCATGGCTCCCTGCTTTCTCTCCTCCTGAAGTGGCCACACCCTGTTGCATGCTGCCTCTCTATCCCTGCTCAGATTGTCGCCCTTTGGCCATGCCAGGGAATCCAACCCCTTTCGAGCAAAGTTTCTCTGGACACTGCACACCCTTCATGCAGCATGCACTCCTGGTTTTTGTCCCTCTCACTATGCCTCCCTGGTGCTCAGCTGAGAGGTCTTCCTCTGTCCAGCTGTCCAAGCAGAAGCCCAGGAGTCTTCCTTGACCCTGTTTCTCGTTGCTGCTGTCACCTCCTGGACCCTCTGCTGCTCACTGTGGCAGTGCAGGCTCCTCTTGTCTCTGCCAGGTGAGCAATAGCAGCAGCCTCCCTCTGGAATCCTTACCTCCTGCCCTGACACCCTAACGTGTTTTCTACAGGTACGCAGGGGGAAATCTGACCATGTCACTACCCTACATAAAATCCTACAGGGGCCAGCGCTGTGGCGTAGTGGGTAAAGCTGCTGCCTGCAGTGCCGGCATCCCATATGGGCGCCGGTTTGAGTCCTGGCTGCTCCGCTTCCAATCCAGCTCTCTGGCCTGGGAAAGCAGTAGAAGATGGCTCAAGTGCTTGGGTCCCTGTACCCGCGTGGGAGAATCAGAAGAAGCTCCTAGTTCCTGGCTTCGGATTGGCACAGCTCTGGCCATTGCAGCCAGTTGGGCAGTGAACCAGTAGATGGAAGACCTCTCTCTTTCTCTGCCTCTCCTCCGTGTAACTTTTTCAAATTAAAAAAAAAAAAACAAAAAAACAAAAAAACAAAAAAAAAAAAAACAACCTGCAGTGGGGGTGGTCGTTTGGCCTAGCAATTAAGACCCCTGTGTGCCATTATCAGAGCAATTGAGTCGCAGCTCCGCTTTCAATCTTGGCTTCCTGTTAATGCAGACCCAGGAGGCAATGCGATGGCTCAAGTACCTGGGTTCCTGCCACCCTCGCAGGAGACCTGGATGGAGATAGATAAGTAGAACCCAGCATTGGCACCTGCCCACAGATAAAATCCAAGCTCTTTAGCATGGGTCTTCAGCCTCTGGTCCCTCTTCTTCCAATCTGGCCAGAAAGTCAGGCTGGATCCTGGTGTGGTTGGTAGCTAACACCTAATGTGACACTATTAACAGGGGGGATCTTCTGGAAAATGATTAAGTCACGTGAAGCCTCGTGAATGGGGTGAGTGCCCATGTAAGAGGCTGAAGGGAGCTCCCTTGCCCTCTGCGTCATGTGACAAGGCAGTGAGATACTGATATCTTTGAAGCAGAGAGCGAGCCCTTCCTGTTCTCCCCAGCCTCTAGGGCTGTGTTTCTTTTTTTTTTTTTTTAACTTATTTATTTGAAAGTCAGAGTTACACAGAGAGGCAGAGAGAGAGAGAGAGAGAGAGAGGTCTTCCAACTGCTGGTTCACTCCCCAATTGGCCCCAATGGCCAGAGCTTCACCGATCTGAAGCCAGGAGCTGGGAGCTTCTTCCGGGTCTCCCTCCGGTATTCAGGGGCCCAAGGACTTGGGCCATCTTCCACTGCTTTCCCAGGCCATAGCAGAGAGCTGAATTGGAAGAAGAGCAGCCAGGACACAAACTAGTGCCCATATGGGATGCTGGCACTTCAGGCAGCGGCTCTATCCGCCATGCCACAGCGCCAGCCCCAGCAGTATGTTTCTACTGTTTACTGATAAGCCAGTCTGCAGTATTTTGTTCTGGCACTCCGAACAGCTAAGACAAGTCCCCAGGGTGGTTAGTTCTTGCCTCTGTGCATTTGTCATAGGAGTCTTCAAAAAGTTCATGAGAAATGCATTTTTTTAAAAAAATTAGGCATGGCTTTCAAATTCTCTTGCACCAAATTCTTTTTAAGTTGTATTTTCCACAAAGTTTATGAAGTCCCCATGTGTGTGGTTTTCCCTCTGCCTGAACTCTCCCTGTACCCCCTCACCAGCCCCTTCTTGCATTCACATTGTAAACCTGCTCCTTCTTTAGGTTCAGCTCAGGGGCTGAGGCTGTGATGTAGTGGGTTAAGCCTCTACCTGCTGCACCGGCATCCCATATGGCTGCCAAGGGTCGAGTCCAGGCTGCTCCACTTCCGATCCAGTTCCCTGCTAATGTGCCTGGGAAAGCAGAGGAATATGGCCCAGGTACTTGGACCCCTGAGGGAGACCTAGGAACTCCTGGCTCCTGGCTTCAGATAGGTTCAGCTCCAGCCATTGCAGCCACTTGGGGAGTGAAACAATGGATGGAAGATCTCTGTCTCTCATTCTCTCTTTCTCTCTGTAACTCTGCCTTTCAAATAAGTAAATAAATCTTTAAAAAAAAAAAAAAAAAAAGGTTCAGCTCAGAGGTCAACTTCCCTAGGGAACTTCATGGAGAAACTCCCTTCCAGTCCCCACTGCCACCCCGCGGGCCGGAGGAGCCCTGTGCTCACCCCAGCACTGCAGAGGTCACACTGTCTGGTCCAGGGGTGGAGGAGCAGGACAGAGATATGAAAGCTCTGGCGAAGACCTTGCCTGCTGGTGCACTCTAAGATGTAGCCCTGAACCTGGCCTGGTGTTGGGGCTGAATAAATATTGGCCAGATAGATGGATGCATCCACCACCTCTTCCCTTTACAACCACACTCCCTGCAGGCATTGGGAACAGAAGGCAACAGCATGCAAATGAGACAGCTCAACTGGGTCCTCAGATAGTTCCACCCGAGGGAGGGGGGGAGGGGTGGCGGTGGAGGAGCAAGAAGCAGCGGCTCTGCCTCCCCATTCCTGGGGTCAAGGCCTCCTGCTGCAAAAAGCTCCTGCAGGGCCAGCGCCGTGGTTCACTAGGCTAATCCTCCGCCTTGCGGCACCGGCACACCAGGTTCTAGTCCTGGTCGGGGCGCCGGATTCTGTCCCGGTTGCCCCTCTTCCAGGCCAGCTCTCTGTTGTGGCCAGGGAGTGCAGTGGAGGATGGCCCAAGTCCTTGGGCCCTGCACCCCATGGGAGACCAGGATAAGTACCTGGCTCCTGCCTTCGGATCAGTGCAGTGCGCCGGCCGCGGCGGCCATTGGAGGGTGAACCAATGGCAAAGGAAGACCTTTCTCTCTGTCTCTCTCTCTCACTGTCCACTCTGCCTGTCAAAAACAAACAAACAAACAAAAACAAACAAACAAACAAAAAACACTCCTGCAGTGAGACGAGAAACAGAAGGGGCAGAAGACTAAGGGAAGGAGTGAATCAATCATGTTTATTGATTGATGAGGAGAGAAAAGATTCAAGTCGGTAAGTCTGGGCCGAGCTGCCCCAGAATGCTCCCAGGCCTGGGCTCTTCCCAGCCCCACCAAGAGGGTCAGTCTTTCTGG